AAMYWMCYSCYCGTGAAGTGCCTGGGAAGCCCTATGAACTACCCGGGTCTGCCTCCTGACTCGTGCGAGCAGTCCAGGAGGCTGCTCTTGYCAATGCCGAAGGGAGGCAGGGGCTGCAGCTGCAGCTCCTGCTCAAGCTCGTGAGGAACAGGCTATTTCTGGCCTGTTYCGCATCCCTGTTTACGTGCCTGAGTCTTAGGGGCGGTTGAAACAATGAGGGCCTGAAAATGGCCCTCCGTTTCAGGCTGGAAAACCTCTGGGTCTGAAAGACCCAGAAATAGGCTGAAACGGAGTAGGGCCTGCAGGCCCTCGTTTTTCAGCTTTCAGGCTGAAACGACCGGGGCCTGTAAGCCCTAAGTTTTAGGCTTTTAGGCTGAATGTCCGGGACGGGCCCTGCAGGGCCCGTGTGGCTACGCAGTATGCCACACCAACACAGTATCCAATGCCACTCCTACTGTCTGGCGCCCAGCGCCCAGCCTATACTATTAGCCTATCTACTCCTATCTATGTCCATGCAACAGGATAACATCAAAGTTGAAGACCACTGTACGTGACGCCATCACCAATGTAGACCGCCAGCATACACCAGGTACGTTCTCTCTCCTCCCCTCATCCCACCTTGTCTCCCCTCTGCCTGCGCCTCCTACCCGAAGACCACCATCGCCATCACCTGCCACCGCACGCTCGGCCCGGCTATGGCCGCCATGCGCCATCTGCCACCACAGCGCCCTCTCACCTCTTGCGCCCGCGTGCATCTTGGCCTGCCAGCTGAGCACAGCTGCGCATGACGTAGCAGCAGCGTGGCCGCATTGCCTGCTCAGGCCAGAATGCCCCTGCCTGGGCAGGGCATTTTCCTTTATGAAAAGTGCGACCCCGTGTCTGGCTTCATGGGCCTGACTGGGCAAGTTTCCAGTAGCTTCCAGTCAGGCCCCAGTGTCTGCGCCCAGGCCCCTCCCTTTGCTGTTACGGGCCTGGGCCCTTTACAGTTGGGCACGTCCAGGCAGTCCTCCAGGCTCCAATTGTTTGCAGCATTCTCATTGGCTCGCGGTAGATGTGTGACGACAATGCTGCATTCTCATTGGCCCGTGGTCACTGTGTGATGTGTCGGCCTCCCATCGCGTGTGCCCAGGGTGCAACTACCTGAGCCCTGAGCTCAACTGTACGTCGTGGCTGCTTCTTCTGGAAAGGGCCAGAAGAGGCTCACGTTGCTCGGTAACCAACTGGCGGGCAGCAACTGTCTGATACCCCACTTGCAAAAAATGTCAAAAATAGGCCTCACGTGGATGTACAGGCCCACCACCTTCACTTAGTGTCGCATACCGTAACGGTGCAGACCAGAACAAGAACTGACCTCTCTCGCTTAGTACAAGATAGCACAGCGGAAGGCTTAAATACCAATGATCCGAACAATCAATGTTGCCATGCAGACCAGACATACATCATCATCATTCCATGGTGTGAAGGGGCCTGGCACTCACACAGGAAGAATGCGCCAGTCCCCAACCATACACAGACGAAGAAGAGGGGGGTTAGACAAAGAAGAGGGAAAGATGGAAATGTTGTCAACACCAAGTCTTCGGTACAGGTCCCAAATAATCCCTCGTCGAATGTCTGAATCCCAATGTCGCGTCTGGACCCAAACGTCGTCAAGTCCCAAAGTCACCAATCTCTCTCTCTCTCGTAGTCTGCAGATACTGAGAAGTCAGGTAGCGAGAGGGGGCGGAGGAGATGGTGGACTTAGAAGAGGAAGAAGAAGAACTCTCTCTCTCTCTCTCTCAGTCCGGTACTAACCTGTGAAGGTGGCGCCTTGTTGCAGGTACATCGAAGACGAAGCTGGAGCTATGGCGCCACAGGTAAGTCTCCCTGGCCTCCACCAACCATCTCTCTCTCTCCACTACTACTCTAGCTCCTGATAGAGCCCAGCGCTGAAGACTACTGTTAACGCTACTACTACTACTGCAGCGCTCCTCCAGAGTGCTGCTGCCGAATCCTGAAGACTGCCTCCTGCCTCCTGCACATGAAGTGCCTTGGAAGTTCCTATGAACTACCTTGTGACTGTCTGCAGCCTGTAGGGCGGTGTCGGTGTGAATACCCTTACAAGGGTATCCGCCCTGTTTTTTTGCAGTTGGCAGAAAATAATTTTAGTTTAGAATTGGAGTATACCGCGCGAGTCGTGGCAGTGCCTGTCGTTTACATTGACTGAATGGTTGACTACAACAAAGAGTGTGTGGGCGCGCGGATTTGAGGCGCGTGTGATCCTTTTAATTGTTGATGATTGAAGAGCCGGCGTGATCGCCGGCCGGAATTATTTCTGATTAAACTAGGATTAACAGGGTGTTTTTTTTTGATTGATACGTTTGATCGGGATGCGCGCACGCTCGTGCGGAGGACGGCCTCGACAACAGTGAGAACCCTGCATGATGAACAGGGTGCGCGACATCGAAGGATCGGCGGGGTTATCCCCCTTGTTTTTCTTACCGACCGCGGCTATGGGACGGTACTGGCGGTTCCTTTTGATGACTAAAAGTTTTCTAGATATTTTATTATTTTTATCGTTATTATTATTAAATTTTACGCTCTGATTTTTTTTATCGGGCGCGGCACTGGCCGTGGGTCGCGACGACTAAGGAGTTGAGCATGCACCCCGTTGGTAGGCCCGGGAGCGATCGGCCATGAAACGGAGAAAAGTCTAAGTGGCGGGATGCTTTTGCGCGGATGCCGCGTCCACCAGCCGCGATCCACGGTGAGGGTTATAAGTATGAACATGCCCTTTGGGGGGCCGGAAGACGGCCGGACGGTCAAGCAAGGTGTTAGGCTGAATGGCCAATTGCATGGGACCAGCCTGACCGAACTACCCTGGGCATCGTGGGCCGCTACGGCCTGGCGCTGCGCCAGCAGGAGTGGAAGGCAGCGATACCGCTGCAGCCTATCTGTCAAACCGAGGCTTGGGGGCTAAAGATTAATCAAGCCACCTAATAGCTGGCTTCTCGTGAAGATCCTGCAAGTGGTTGGAACCGTCGGGCGGACCGCTGTGTCGGGACGCTGTCGACCGAAGGAGAGGGACTAGGTGAGTACACGAAGGGAATGGCCGGGACTGTCGGGCAGTAGGGCCGATCACAGCGACCGCCGGGAGCCGCGCTGTCGCGGACAAGGCAATAGCACAGCGGGCGGACGGGAGCTGTGAGAGCAAAGGCTGAGCAGCAAAAAGGGAGTGAGAGAACGTGGACGCGATGGCGCACCGGATGCAAGTGAGGTGAGCGGGGGGCGAGGCGATGGAAGGGGAGCGACAGACAGCGGGGCTGGCCGGGCAGCGTGGCGCTGTGCAACAGCGAAGGAAGAG